GCAGAAAATGTGGTTTTCACAGCAGACGCATCGTTAAAAATAAGAAAATGTACATTAAATAAAAAAAGTTACACCAAGAAAAAGCAGAAAATATTTAGATTTCGATAAATATATTATATATAACATTTTCTATTTTTAAAAAACATTTTTTGTCAACAATAGATTAATAGATTTATTAAATAACAGCAAATGTTAATTTTTGTTTTTAATTATTAATATCCTAATATACAGTACATGTATGCGCTAAATATATATGCATATATTTTATTTATTCATTTATTTAAACCAAGAAAAAGCAGAAAATATTTAGATTTTTCTCAATAGATACGCCACTAAAATATACTGCTTTTACGACAGTCATCATTAAAATAGTAAAAAAAATAAACGAGTATAAATAAATAGTAGTTTTTTTTCATTATTGTCGATGGATCATTAAAAACAACAAACATTTTTTTTTTGTTTTTATTTCCTGCTTATTCATCATTAATCTCCAGAAAACGTCTCTCTGCTGTCGATGCATCAACATCATATTTTAAACTCGATCCATCAATAAAAAGCAGATTTTTTCCTACAATAAATACAGAAATAACCAACAACACTATTAACAGTCTGGTTTCTGCGTTCTGAAGTGATTTTACAAAGTCCCCTCACTCATGGTCGACTCTGGATCGCTCCGAGGCCCGTCAGAACTCAAAGTCAGAACTTTTAATCCCAGGTTAAGTTTTAATTCAGACCCTGAGCTCTTGTTATCGAGCCGACTTCAACCCTGTGAGTGAGTCCACGGCTCCAAAACACGTTTATTGATTTGTTCGAGAAACGCTGCAGCTCCGGTTCTCACGCAGACCAGCAGCAGCTCCGGACGCCCAGAAGTCCTGGTTCTGGATCTCAGGACACGTGGCGGCTAAAAATACAGACTCGGGTTTATTTGGTCCTCAGGCTCCTGCGTGGTTTAAAGCTGTGCTGCTGAATTAAAGACAAAGTTTGTTGTTTATCCTCCTCTGGTCGATGCACAACATTAAACCCGGTTAACGGGACTCACTGAGGAGAAGCTGCTGCTGCAGATGAACCACCGAGGAGCAGAAAACGCTCCAAAATGCTCAAATTAGAAAAATAAATTATGTTTTTATGACAGAGTCGCCATTAAAATGGAGAAAACGTCCCAAACACGCTGTTCATGGATAAATAATCATCAGCTGTGCGGGCTTTTCTTCTGTAGTTTGATAAATTTATTGAGCATCTGCAGCTTTTATACAAGAAAGATTAAATAATTAAACACATTCATTGTTCAAACACCAATAAATAACTGCAAAATTAAATGATTTGAATTCCAGATCATCCAATAAATAACAGCAACATGTTGATTTTTTTCTTTTTTAATTCTTAGTTCACAGTTAATTCATTAAAAATGTACGTTCTGCTCCTGTGGATGCATCAGCAGGTAGAAAACGTGCATTCCTTCCTTCAGTCACCACTAAAATACAGAACATGTCCCGTTTATCTTGTTTTATTCTTAATGCTCATGAACAGAAACTTTCAGCAACTTTATGTATTTTTTTATGGATTTATTTAGATTTGATTCATGAGATAAATTAGTTTAAAAATTTTTTATTATAGATTTATATAAATTGGTGCCATTTTTTTCTTTCTGTCAGAATTCAGAATTTAACAGCAGAACAAAATAAATGAACTTGAGTGTAAACATGTTGATTTTATATCTTCTGTTTTATTTATACTGGATTCTGATACTTTTTTTTCTTTTTTAATGTCAGGCACTAATACAAAGGTGAGAAAACATCTTTAAAAATCTATTTTATTCTAAAAGTCACTGTAAAATATTCTTATTTTATTGTTTATTTTTTATACAGAACTTTTTCTTCTTCTTTTTTTAACCTATGGCAGGAAGTCAGGGAATATTTTCGGTTATTTTATGGATTTATTCTACTTAAACATTATAAATGGGGGACTTTCACCGTTAGCCGCTACGCCGACCTCCTGCCGACGCCACCGACCAGAACCGATTCTGTGGAAACGACACAAACACAAACGTTTACATGTGTGACTGTGTAGAAAACCACTCGGGGTTGTTCCCTCTGAGGACGCCCACGTACACAGGAACCGCCGGGTCCAAACGAGGTTAACGCGAGCTGGCCTCGGGCTGGACGCCTGGAACGAGCATCCACGGAGCATCACAACAGCCAGACCGGCGGAGGGTCAGCGTGATCGTGATGGGATGCGACGCTCCGAGTGTCCGGTCGGGTCCGTGACGCGTAAACTGGAGCGGATAAAGGAAGAGCTGCCTCCTTCGATACTCAGTCAGCATCGACGGGCTGCTCTTCTGTTGAGCTTCACGGCCAAAAAAATACACATTTAATAGAAAAACGAGGCGGTCACAGGAAGAACAATCCACTGTTTCTTACTTATAGTTTCAATTTGCACATTAAAAACGAGAAGTTTTTGCGGGACAGAGTAAACACGAGAAGCAAAAACACGTCATGAGTCGATGACTTTAATCAGCTCGAAGCAGAAAACAGACATCTGTGGATCAATACAGGAAATAAAACACAAACAGGACGCTTGTGTTTTCTATCACCGCTTGAATTTCTCTCTTTCCGACGTCTTTTTCTGCAGAAGTCAAACCAAACGGAGAATCCTGAACAAACAGTTTTTCATCTGGTTGTTCTACAGCATGAGCGAGTTTAAACCAAGCCCGGGATGCAGCAACAGTGCCCCCTAGAGACAGACAAAACGGAAAACCCAGTCGGGGCTGAATTACAAACTGAAACTTTCAGGCCGCTTTGGGTTCCTGCAGTGAAGGCAAACGAAGAAAAACTCCCTTTAATTCACGTTTTCTTCAGTTTTCTGGTGATTCTATGTTTATTTGCGTGACACACTTCTGCCTGTTAGCTGAAAAACCAGCTCAAAATGCACATTAAACTGTTTCCGTCTGATAAATGCAGCAGTGAAGTGAATTCATCGACCAACGAGTGACTTCCTGACCCGGTAAGGGGCCGTTCCAACGCCGTAAAAAAGCCGACGTTAGCCAACTAAACAACACACTAGAAACACCGTAAAAATCAAAAAACGGCGCCGTTTGTTTGATTTAAGAGTTTATATTGTGAACATTACATGGACATCGGGGCCTCCGTGACGGGGAACCTCCCACAGGTAGGTTTCAAGCGGCTGCACCTGAGCAGGAGTGACGGACTTTCATCTGTGAGATCTGGATTCTCATGCTGTGGATGGAGATTCAGTCTGAGGTGGTGCGAAAACGATCAAACGTCGTTTT